CGAAGTCCCCGGCAGGAAGTTGTTAAGTTACATATCCACATAAAAAGGGGAAATCGGTTACATTCTTACCAACTTCATTTGAAATTCATTAAGAAAATTTGTTTCTAATTAAAATTGAAAAAAAAAGGTAATGGTGCTAGCAAGTGCTTACACTTTCTTTTTTATCATTTTATATTATGTTGAAAGTTCTTTGTGTTTATGCATTGTGCATAACAGAGGTTGGTAAATGCATGACCAATATCTACTTTATTTTGGAGTGCACTTTTGACTTTTAGAATGAGCCAAAACGATGTCTGCAGCACTCTCATTTTTTGGTGGTTTTCCAAAACATTCTTCCAGTGGCCTCTGACAGGAATGCAGGACACTGCTAGAGCATTATCAGCATTCAGTCTCCTGATGACTTGAGCCGGTCTTAAATGCACATTTAAGAATGGCCAAGTACATACAAGTACTTATTCCCATTAATAATTACCTTTTCTAGTCAGAACGTCAAAAGAAGTCATTATATGATAGATTTCCATCAATTTTGTTCTAGAATTTTATTTTCATTTTCCTAATACCCCTGTGTATTATATGGTATATTCCTTGTGCAAGTTGTCCAAAAGAATCTCCTTATATGGACTTGGTGCGTGTGTGTGGTGAGCAGCGTGCGCACAGTTTCTTGACCATCATGATCAATTAAACTGTCTCGTATCCAGGTGCCAGTGCATGATTTTACACAGCGGGCATTATCACTTCTCAGTGAGCATGCATCAAATGTTAATACCCAGTCAAGTTGCATATTGTTGAAAAGGGAGACCGTCTAAGGTATTTATGAATCAAATTTAACTCGCAAGAGGCTTATTTCAACCTCTGCAATGACACGGAAGTAGTAAAACATGAATATACCTTTAAAATCACTTCTACCTATAGCATCTATCCAGACTGGACTACCTTCCTTATCAAATCCACATGTTCCACCTGGCCAGTACTTCTTCAAAATCTGGATAATTATTAAAAAAATGGAAGAAAGAGACGTTTTATTTCCATGACACATACTATAAATGACACAAGTATAAATCTGCTGTCAACAATGATGGTATGGGCCAAATCAGGTTTCACACCTTATTGACGTACATGTGTCTACAACTGAAGTGCATATATGTACTAGCCTAAGTTTTTGCTCCAACGAAGTTACTACCTTTGTCCGACCTGATTTGACAAACCTTTCCTCGGAATGCTATGAAACAGCAAAGACCATGGATAAATGCGTCGGTGGAGAGATCATCTAGTAACTCTAAGTGGACTGCTGTAGAACTGTAGGCAAGTGAGCAACGGCCCATATCTCTCATACTCTTTTCTTCCTTCCGTGGAGGGACTGAAACAATCTATGCTGCAGTATGAGAATGAAGTAGACGATTCAACATGATCCTCAGAGAGATCTGCCATCTTTTGTTCTTCAGTGGGTCGTCGGATTCTTCTGTAGATAACACTTTTATGAATGAGATCAACTACCAACCTCCCACCACTAATTATCGAAAATCCACTTGCTCTTATTTCATTACAGGTGACATCATGACCCTGATGATGTACCTTACAATGGAAGTGAGTTACTATGAGCCCAGAGATGGGGCTGTCCTTGAGCTGTATTGCTGGACGCTATGCGACAAGTGGGAGCGACAAATTTCTTAGGTGACCTGCAACACGCAGAATCCCAAGGGTATCAGTAAAAGGATCTCAGTCCTTCGGGGGGGGTGGTTTCTTCTCAAAGTTTGCTCCTAACCCAACGTAATCGGGAACAAGCCTGCATCTTGTCGCTCTCGGACACTGGTCATGCATGCCTTGGTGATACCCTTAGCTCTTCCTTTGAGTCTCGCAACAGCACGTACGAGCATAGTCCACCTGGAGAATCTGGACAGCTGTGCCAAGATGTTGGAATTGCCTGGCTCTAATACTTGGAAATGTGGACTTCTTCATTTATGGATCTTCAAGAGACAATCTGGCACTGTTTTTGATGGGAATGTGAAGACAGGATTCCACTCTGATTGATGAAGAACTGATGCTGTAAGACCTCTCAAAGTGTGATCAGTGGGATTTGAGTGAGACTAGACATAGAACCACTGATCTGTGTCTGTGCTATTCTGGATTATCTGTACACAGTTGGCTAAAAATGTGTGAAAGTCTTCACAGCATACGGTTGGTTGTTTTGACGGGACACCATCTCTTGGGGTGTTATAGCTTCAGGTCAATTGAACCCTATAAGCATTCCAATGTCACAGTCCTGAATTACAGGATGTCCACTGGCAATTCACTCAAGGTGAGACCACGTCAAGGCCGTTTCTGTGGAGAGAACAAACAACCTCTCTCTGTCAGTATGAAACCTCTTGTGTATAACTTTGGAATAGTAATAACTTTCCTACAGTGCATCCCCGGACCATTATATCTTCAAGAAGACTACTTCTATGACTGTGGAACTCAACATCATTGTTGCCATTTTCTGCGGGACATATTCACCTTTATCCCAAGACCTTCAGCTGAAGAGTTCAGACTGAAGGATGTGTCACTCTGAGTATCCAACATAGTATAGGCGAGAACTTACCAGACTGGATTTGAAGCTGTGGCTACCCACATTGGTACAATCATCGATGTGCATGAAGCACCATCTCCTGTGGCACAGGACACAGCTGAGGCTGGTTCTCTTCTTTCTTTGGCAGCCAGGACTTTTACTCTCCAGTGACATATCTTCATGGAGGGAGGTGGAATGAGACTCGCCTCTTACACTCTTTAGATTGATGGCCCTTTTGTTGACAGCCATTACAAAGTCTGTTGTCTTGCAGGAACTGCTTCTTTCCCTCCACCGATTGGCTTCAAACTTAGAGCACTTATGAATGGAGTGAGGACCACAGCAAAAGGTGCGTGATGGAGCTGGCTTAGCAGATGGATTTGAGGAACATGTGTACTTGATGACGATGTTGTGGATTGATCAGGGGCTCGTATTGCCTTAACTTGTCTTGGTTGTTTTACTTCCTTTCTCTGACCCTCTTGGGGCTTCAACATGCTACTTCAGCTTCTTCTGTGACAAATCGCAGAACTCCTCGAGAGGGGATACTCTTACTTCTCCAGTGAAGTAGCCACACAACGATTCCATTGTTTTGCAACCCATTCAGGCAATTTATCCACCATCTTTCTGTTCTCTTTGTAGTCGTTCAGCATGGCTACCCTTGATGTGTGGTATGGCATCATTGCAGGCTGCAAGAAGTCAGAGAAATCTCTCAAGTGTTTGTGAATCCTGAATGGAGATCTTTTCTCTGAAGCTCCTCTGGATGAGAAAGGGATCTCTGTACCATTACTTCAATTTTGACCAAGCATCTTGATATGCTGATTTGTCTAAATGGAGAAAGGTTCCTTGTATCATCTTCACTGCAGCATCTGTGGTGTGCTTCTTGAGTGTATAGCATATCTGCTCATCTGAGTTACATCGTACAGTTCATAATGAGATAACTCGCACCTTTCATTACACTAGCTACAAGTTATCTTGCACAGCGAAAGTCATTCTGTGGCAATGATACAGAGTTCATTAACAGTTATTATGCATTGTATTGAATTCTTCCTCAATGCTACATGAAATAAAGCACATACATTGGGGAAATTACATTTGCCACTAGGCATATTTCCAATATTAACTGAAAGGTAAAAACAGTAATCTACGAGAAATTGTACACAACCATGACAAAAATAGTGTTCTCCACACTGCCAGTTTACTTCTGAGGTTTTAAGCAATAACAGTGCTTTCTTACAAGTTAAAATGCAATTCTAGTGACAAATTCTTGTACACCAATGACTATGAAATTCTCACAGCAATGTTAAATTGCTGCAAATTGTTTGTCCAGACATGTCACATAAATGTATGAAGTATTATCTTGCTGGATAGAGCAGAGAACATCAATCATTCCAAGACAATGAGTCAGAAGCTCAATTGGTGTGCAGATGTAACTTACCTCAGGGATATCATCCCTTGATAATGCTGATGTCTGCATCTCCTTCTTCCATTTCACATCCTGTACAAGAAGTGAAACATCCCAGTCTATTACTCAATACCTCTCAGCATTAACACACAGCTTACAGTGGTTCGTCCACTATCAAGACAATCTGCCTTGAGTTGAAGCGCCCCCTCATCGGTTGAAAAGAGCCATGCTGGTGGGGAATGTTCATTTTATTGGTAATTATGCAAACGCAACACATACGTTCCACCAAAGGGGTCTCCATTGCGAGGAAATGCACCCTCTCTCAGTCCCGCTTGGGGCCCATAAGCCAGGGGAAATGGACAGGATATGGACTGATGTTTTCCTGTCATCCTTTTCTTGTGTGTAACATTTCTATTGCTGTCCGAACACACTTCCAGACATGATCCACAGCTACATGCTATGTACATTTCTGACACCACTATAAAAGCATTCTAAGAATGAAATACATTTACCTTGGAATAGGCATTTATAACTTGGCGGTGTGTCTTTATTACTTTACTGGATTTTGATAACAGATTGGAACCTAAGTTTTAGACATAAAGGTAATTTGACAATGTCACAGTTTTGCATACCTTTGGCAAGCCATGTGCAGATCCAACCACATTTCTTCAAATACACACAGTACTCATACTGTGCTGCCTAATTTATCAGTAAACATGGGGCTACAGATGACAATATAAAGGTACAAATTCCATAAGACAGATTGAGACTCAACATTTGTAGGCACTGGCAGAGAAATCATTTTTGAAAAGGTCCACCTGTCTCAAGAAATACAACCTTTTACCAATTATCATGGCATCTCAGCATTTACCAGCATATAAAACACCTAATATAATCAACATCAACCATGAGCACTTACAAACTGTTTTAATTCAACAGGCACATTTCACTGACATTATTTGGAATGTAACTATGCATTATGTACATAGCCCAAAGTTAAGGCTACATAAAATTACTTACCCGCACATTTCCATGCCTGCAAGTCAATTTCAAAATAGCAGATTGCACAATGACTATGGAGGTTGGAGTCATCATCTTCAATTACCCACGACTGTATGCTGACAAATTCCAACTATGTCAAAAAAGTAACTAATAAATGTTTCTGCTTACCTTCCTAAAAAGGGTCTCACTGGATGTCAGGTCGAACTTCCTTGCTGAAATAAAGTGCAAATACAAGTTTGCACATACCTCTATACATTTATGATGATAATAAAATGGTGTACTAATTAAATGTGTTTGGGGAAAGGCAGAGGATATTTTACAGTATTCTGCCAGTAGCCTTGTTCTGACTGTTCCATATTTATGACATCACCGGCGACGGCAAAATATCCACTGCCTTTTGGACAAATATCAGTGGATTCAGTTTTCACTTCAGGATTAGTGCTTGAGGCCAGGTGCTCGATGAAGTTCCCTGATTCTGTGAATCAAAAAAATTGACTGATATTTTTCGAAATACCAGAATTGTTATATCACATTTATGAGCATTGTGATCATTATGTTAATATGTTATGGCCAAATGAAATGGTTACAAATCACATTTTTTCACTGAAGCAATTAAATCAAGAAACTTGTTCCATGACTTGGGACTCCTTTTCACACAGAGATTTGAATTATAATTATAACACAACAAACCTCTAAGGAATCGTAGTAACACATGATCATCATGATGGTCTTCAAGAACATCTGCAACGTTGATTCTAAACTGGCAAAATTATAATGAATATGAATAAATATGAATATCATGCTGAGAGTAGTATGGTACACATCACAAGCCCACTTGCAATGAAAGAGGTTACTTTTCATATACATGTATTTTAAAGTAAAAATGTAGATGCGCATGGTCCAGATTTAGATGTTGTGAAAGAATACCTAAACAAAAGGAAGCAAATTTTAGCTAAACTAATAGTTTTCCGTGCAAATGACCTGGTGTATGAATATTTCAACTCCCATCCTCAGACTTCAATGCTTGGTTTTTCAGTTATACATGTACCAAGGTTAATTAATATACATGTAAGTGTAGATCCAAGCCTTTATGTACACGTAGCACTGTGTTTGACTGTAGCAATGGTGGCAATAATTGAAATTGCCATGCATGGAAAACAAGTCAACCAAACAGGAGAAAAATTATGAGGGTAGCTTTAAAATTTTGTCAAACAAATATTAGAATAATAATACTAACATTAGAATATTTTCAGATCATTTTTAAAACGGATGTGCAGTCAAGTATTTGTTTCCATTTCCGGCAGATGCTTACAATGTAGCTCAATTTGATATTTTGGTGTCCAAGAACTACATGTACATGTATATTTACTGGAAAGAACACCATATGGTAACTGTAGGTAGGTTGTGTTTGGAATGGACACAAATTGACGATGTCAACAGGAAGAGGAAAGCAAGATAGAAGATATCTGATATACAAATAATTACTGAAATTAACGGCCTTTGGGTCACAATTTTTATTTTGTTTTGATTTTGGGTAGTGATAATTGTAACAGGTTACAAATTTTATAGATAAACATTTGCCCATTGCTGAAGAGATGCATGATTTCCATATAGTCCAAAGAAATGTCCATGGGACATCGAGACACAGCGAGTCACAAAAAAGACACTGGGTGACATCATTCCACCAAACAAATGATAGGCCTACAACATGGCATTCAAAACTCTTTATAAGTTCATATTTGCTGACTGTTACTGTCCCTATCTGCGTCAGTCACAATAAAGTGTTTCCATGTCATTGCGTATCATTGGAAATTGATCAGTGATGTTCTCTGTATCTCTTTATGTCGATACATAAACAATGTTTGAGACTTGTACACCTAGTATCAATTCCCTTTGCTCAATCCTTCTCAGGAGCATGTGGTAAAACATCGTAGTGTTACTCAGACTGAACTCAAACCCATACTCCCTAAACATGAATAAAGTAATTGGAGTTTCATTTGAAACCAACAATAATAACTTGAACAGTTAATACATCTTATCATAATTAATAAATCTTACTGATTTATAGGAGGTTGTGAGCTCACAATCACATGGCACACATTCATTTGTGATTCAATGCCACTTCAAAACTATCTAACTATAAGTATGTAGAGGTGCCACATCAAAGCAGGACAATGTTACACAGACTGAAAATATCAGCAATTACATGTACATACATGTAATTAGAATGTCAAATTCTGATTGAACAAATAAATGTTATACAGGCAAAATTTCCATGAAACTTGATGTCATATACATCCCAAAACAGATTTATTTGAACTCAAACATACAATAACTGGAAATACTTGAACAGGTTACCAGAAACCGACAGGGCATATCTGGTAAGATATAGCTACAATATTGTTACAGGTACTGCTAGTCTTTACCTTGGTAAGTTTTTCTTGCTGTTTGTAGCTCAGGTTATCTAGTGTTCCACTCATAATGGTACAGCAAGGATGGCAACACATACAGCCAGACTGTCACATCTGATGCTGCATGAAAAAATGAATGCAAGAAAAAAAAGTCAGCTTTACACATGGACAACAGACCTCTGTGCTGTGACATCATACTTTGTTTACATGGGCATTGAGCTGATAGGAAAACATACAAACAGTGTGTCATCAGTACAGAGGTATATTTTTAACATTTGTCTACATTCACATTGGTGAACAAATAACCAATGAAGGGGGGATCAAAGCAAGTATTAATAAAAAGGTAGGCCATAAATGTGATACACTTTAGAAGCAAAGTCCATCCATATTTGCTACACAAACTTGAACAAGCAAAAATGAAAAGTAATAACAATTTCAATAAGCCTGTTAAGATTTAACACTGAAGAAAAAAGGAAAGACACAGAACTGATGTTCAGTTACAAATTTAATGGTAATTGCACAGTTGACAAAAGGCAAAGTAATTATGATAGCAATGGTGAAACTAAATATACAGGTACAGAACAATATTCATATGAACAAGTGAAGTTCAAATGTCAACACCTCCTGAATGTTTTTGGTGCATCAGCAAAAGAAAGCATGGTGAAAGCACTGTACAAGCACATCTACACTGTCACTGTGCATATCGACTGGTATATGTACAAAATGACACCAGTACACGTGCATAAACATTATCATAGATCAAGCTTTTGATGACATCAGCACAGCATCAAGAAATTTTTTGACAATGAAATTAAAGCATATTATTTCTGCTGACAAAGACTTCATCCAATTCACAGAGACTGCAAGCAGTGCATGCAAAAAGCTTGCTTAATACATGTACATGTATGCTCATAATTAAGCAGCAAAACAAATCTTGATGGGCATCTGTGTTGGCATGTCTCAGATGTGAAACTACATGCATATCAATATTTTTTTACATTAAATCACTATGTAACTGAACAAACTTAAAAAAAACAGACGGTTAATGATTTATCAACTTGTACAATTGAACTGCCTGGCTTGTGAGAACTTGGTCAATAGAAAATCTAGATCTTAATTCCTTTTGTAAATACAATTTTGTTTTCATTTTGATATCAGTAATCAAAATGATGCCAGTGCACTGCATGACACCCACTGTCTTATCTGTAAATGTGCAAGTACAAATGTACAGTTGACTCTCGTTAAAAATAACACGGTCATAACAAATTACAGCAACAGAAAACACCAACAAAAAAAAGAAGAAAAAAAGAGTTGACTGTACTATACTGTGTTGTGTGCACACAAGTCTTGCACTGCTACTATACAGACAAATTGCCCCCAGCTTCAACACCCTGTCCAACAGGTGGCCTTCTGGCCAGTGGCCTAAATCCATACAATCAAGTGGGAAAGATTGGGGAAATATCCTGAAAATGCCTGGCCATTAAATACTGAAGAGAAAAAGGGGAGAGTGAGAGGAGCGGAAAGAGAATTCATGATAATTATGTATACCCATTGTAAACTTGCAAGCTAAATTGAAAAAGGTAATTCTGAAGTTTTTGTGCCATTCATGCCATTAGAAAATCATTATGTTCAGTCCCACACTATGGATGAAATGCTTAAGAGCACAGTTTTGATGAATTCTGTCGGGTGTAAGTCACAGATGAGAGAAATTTTCTAAAGAAACTTCTTGAAAATAGGTTGGCATGCCCAACTACAGCACTAAAGTGGGGACTTACACTATCGTTGGGTGTAACACTGTAGTCTTTTCCACCAAAAAACTTTGAGTTCCTTGCTGTAATGTTCTTTAATGTTGAAAGTAGCAGAGGTACCAGTGAAAAAGTCTGATTTATGGCCCCTGCACTGTTTGGACTATGCGGTCAGGATGTATTACCAGTATCCGTGATGTTTGATATCTAATGAGGATAGGCATATTTACCAACTGGTCATGTGATCCTTGCTGATGTGACAATTGGGTCAATAGGTTAGGATGGTAAGGATGATGGTGAGAAATGAGCCACTCCCTACCCAACGAAATATCCCCTATGACCTACGTCTACAACAGCCTCTCCTAACCAGACTCCTACTGCTTGGCTTTTTGCACTGGCCCCCATTTATTAACTGATAGCAGTGGTGCGTAAGCCAAGTTTCTGACACCTTTTATCCAGATTGCTTCAGGCAGGTGGGGTTTGTTAGCCATGGGGGGCAGCTCACCTACGAGAAGGCAAACTCTGATCTGAAACCCACAGTGAAATGGCCTCACTACCTTAAAAGCTGCTAAAACAGTCATGGCTAGAGGACTGACAACCAGGAGAGAAGTTCCTCAAGGCAGTGCGGCAGCAATCCCTGCTGTCAATCCGAAACTACTCCTAAAATATAGCACCCCACATTTCTTTGGTCCCTTGCATAGGTCAAGAGGGGAATCTCAACAAGTGGGGAGCTTGGGACTTGAATACGTTCCTGCCCAGATTTTTCAAAGTACCACTTTGCAATGAGGCCCTATAGCGATGGGCAGCCACTAGTCACATCTAGGTGGCCACAGCCAGTGGGTCACTCACCCCCTGCTGGGGTAAGGGCAGAGTTTGGCAGTAGCCATGGTGATAGAGCAGCCTTCTCTAGGGACAGCACTGCTCTCCCTACATGGGGCGGGTCTAGAAAGGTGACCCAAACAAAGCTTACCTTATATTCACTTTGTCAGCATATCACTGCTGACTGGGTATCCTTCATGCAGTTGCAATGCTAAGAATACATCAATATACAGTAAACTCCGGCTAAGTCGGCACTCTCGGGATGCAAGAAATTATGATGACTTACACAAATGCCGACTTGTGCTATGAGTTGTCATTTTGCTGACTTGCACGTACACAGGTATTGCCTACGTACATGATGATTCCTTGCACTAATTCAATGGCTTTGATTTACCCTAGTTTATTTCTACCTCCATGGTCGATCCCAGCAAATTCATTCTCGATTATTATCCTCAGGGCTGCAAATTCGATAATTGATCACGTGCCCCTAGGGACCAAACAAAGACGGCAAACCCGCACTTGCATATCACATCATGACTCGACAGTGCAGTACGTACATGTACACGATACAGTTACGGTATAGAAAACATACACTCATCTGCACATGCATTGGTTAAGTTCGTTCAATAAGGCGACCCCAAAATGGACAGAGTGCATGTGAGTCACGGGCACTAGAGGGGTTACTGGTATTGATGTACTCATGCTGGCTGATTATCAACCACAGCCTGTGCTGCTAATAAACAGACATCAATCAAGCAGTGTGGGACTTGTCAGTTGACACTTCTTGGCAACCGCGGCGAAGGAAACTGATACCGAAGCACGATTTTTTTATGCCAACTTACACAAAGGAATTTTGTGGTTTTATGGAAAAGGGACCGAGAAAAACATGCCGACTTTTACGAAATGATGACTTATAAATGCCGACTTAGAAGTGAAATTTTCATTGGAAATGCATTACAGACGATTGGGACAAGTCACTTTGTCAAAAGGCCGACTTAAACCATATGACAAGTTACGTGATGCCGACTTAGTCAGAGTTTACTGTATGCTCCGTGCAATTTGGTGCAATGAATGTGAGAAGTTTGATGAATACCAAGGCCAGTGATAGGCCTGAATGGATGACCACCCTTGCAAGCCATAGGTTCTCCAGATACTGGATTGACACTGCAGCCCTCAGTGAGACCTGTCATGCAAGCTTTGGGGAACTTACTGAAGTTGGCTCAGGCTACACTTTTTACTGGAGTGGCAAACCTAACAATGCACCCTAAATTTACAAACTTGGTTTTGCAATCAGGCAAGAGATTATACAGACAGCTGGATTCCCTCCAGGCTGATGGCCATCCACTTCACACTCATGGCTAGATTTCATTTAAACCTCATAAACTCGTGAGCCCCGACCTTGGAATCTCCAGATGAGGAAGAGATTTTTCACTCCGTTACGAGAGAAGCTACACATGCAATACCCTGTGAGGATACACTATTCCTGCTTGGTGATTTTAATGCCAGAGTCAGCAGGAACACATTGGTATGGCCTAATGTTTTGGGATCAAATATAATATGTCCAACAAGAATAACGATGGGCTTTTGCTTCTTGGCATATCCACCAAAGAGGATCTTGCCATGTCTCCAGGCTTAAAATTCCTGAGGTATGAGCAGAGTTTCAAACCTAGCTGACTGATAAAGCTTCAAAACACAACCACAACCATGCCTGGTATTGATTGCAAGGGTGCTTGCTATTTTCTCTAGAATTGTGTTGTTGGGTTTTTATCAAAGAAAACATCAAAATTGGTTTGATGAGGCCAACACAGAAAAACTGGGGCTTACCAACCAAAAGAGGGCAGCCCATGCAACTTGGTTCAGCGATAAGGACTCAGCTGTCAAGCGTTTATGCTTTACAGAGCTAAGGCGTCAAGTCCAAGCAAAAAATAGAGAGCTGAGAGATGCTTGGTGGTCATCAAAAGCTGAAGAATCAGGGGCAAATGAAGATGAACATGATGCAAGAGGTTTCTTTCTCAGGTGTGAAGGCCGTTTTGGTCCTCAGAGAGTAGCCCAACCCCAATAAAAGTATCAATTGCTCAGTTCGTACTGAGAAGCACCTTATATGTCACTGGGTGGCGCACTTCAACCACCTTTTGATTAGAACATCAGAAGTGGATATGGACATAGCTGACAGCATACCCCAACATTGTGTGATTAACTGATTAAACTCACTTCCCTCTGTAGCGAAGACATTGGCAAAACAGAGGCAAAGCACCTGGCCCTGATGGCATACCCCCTGAGCTGAGATTTACAAGTTTGGCAGCTACATGTACATACTCACTGAGCATTTTGCAAGCCTTGTAGAGCACTTCAGGGACAAAAGTTAAGTGCCATGTGCACTACATGACGCTGAAATCATGCACATCTACAAGAACATGGGTAACTGGTAACAGTGCGATAATCAGACAGGTACATGTATCTCCCTCCTCACCATGGCTGGTGAGATCCTGGCCCAGATTTTTCTCCACAGGATCACCGAGCCATTCACTAGATCACATATCTAAGAGTCAATGCAGCTTCTGAAAAAGCCAGAGTGACAATTGACATGATTTTTGCTATCAGACAACTCAAAGTAAAGTGCCTAGAGCAGCATCAAGATTTATGTTATCCATAGATCTGACAATGGCAGTTGATACTGTTAGCAGGGCTGGCCTGTGGTCAATTAAGAAAAAGTTCGGATTCCCACCTAAGTTCACGGCAAGTTTATGCTTCCTCCACAACCTCATGATGGGATGCATAATTGAGCACAGTGATGATGCCTCTCCTTACTCTCTGTCACAAATGGAGTGAAGCGACGGTGTGTCTTGGTCCCACCTCTATTCAGCCAATACATGTGCAGGCATCAACATCTGCTTTCCCACAGATGGGAATTTCCTTGACCTAAAGAGGTTCAAGCACTAAAGTAGGTCCAACCCTCATACAATTAAGACTTAATTCCTCTTTGCCAATGACCGTGCTCTGACAGGCCATTCCAAGGAAGACCACCAGGAACCTACCGATTGTTTGCTGCTGCCGCTGCAAGAGCTTTTGGCTTGACCATCAGCATCTAAGAGATCGAAGTACTGTGGCAACAAGCACTGGGCGAAATCCAACCTCCTACTCATATCATCATGGATGATGCCCCTCTTCAGAACACAGATACCTTCAACAACCCAAGTTTTTTGACATTTGTAGGTTCATGTTTTGTGCAAGCACGGGGCCACACAAAAGACGAAGGTTTACAGGGCTGTTGTTCTTCCTTCCCTCCTGTACGGCTGTGACACATGGGCCTGCTACTGCTTCCTCACATTGTGCATGTGGTGAAGATGGACCAGTTTCAACGATGATGCTTATGCAGGCTACGTCAACAACAGCTAAACTAATCGTGTTACAAATCAGGATATCCTGCGTCAGGCAAAGATGGCAGTTATTGAGGCCTTTCTCATGAAAGTCAGCTAAAGTGGTCAGGTCATGTTTTGCGCATGGACAAAAGCCGACTACCAAAACAAATCCTCTGCTTCAAGTCTTTAGCTTCTGGTCAACATCATCCGGAAGGCCAACTGAAGAGATAGAAACATACCCTGAAGGCTTCCCTCACTCTTGCCATATTCCCCTAAAGCACTGGCGCAAGTGCTCACCAAGGATAGTTCTGCATGATTGCGCATGGTTAAGGCAGCTATAGAGCACTATGAGATCTCCCGCCAAAGGAACTTGGAAGTCACGAGACCAGCTTGAAAGACGAAGTTGCTTGATCCATCTGAAACAGTTCCTACCTATCCTGTGTGCAGTAAGACCTGTTTCTCAGCCTTTGAGCTGCGCTCACACTACTTGATTGCTCTGGGCCAATAACTATTAGTATTTTTCAAGAGAGATACTAGAGAAATTTGTCCTTTTCAAACTACACGTATTCTCATTTATACTCACGTGTATCATTCTAGCGACAGCTAGTATAATACAAGTACTGGATATTTCCAGTACCAAATTAGGTGTGCAAAAGGCATTACTGCAAGAACCAGTGCGTGAACCAATACACACAGGTACGAATGACATCACGCTTATAGAGTAGGCCCAAATCCTACCTAGGCCCGGTGCCTTTTTTTTTAATGTTCAAACCATGTTGCAACCTTGGCAACCCCAACTTGTAAAAATTTACGCCTAGGTGTATACTTTTTTTCGATAAAGGTAGGCCAGCATAATGTGCTGGTGAGGACCCACACTTTAAGTTTTAACCGTATAAGCCATTTCGAAGTTTCGATCGTGCACGCAGCAACCTGCCTTAACAACCCTTTTTTTTAATAAACAAACCGCACCGTTCCATAGCAACGCACGTTTTGCATTGGGTAGTAAGTTTTTCGAATTCCCGTTCTGATTCACATCGAATTGCAAAAGAAAAAGGACGCTCTACTGTGTGCCTTGAATATATACAACACGTGACCTCATAATCTTTTCAATTTTTTTTTGTAAATTCATATCACTGCAGAAAGTTCAAAATAACTTGATTAAAAACTCGTACATCGTTCGTAGTACTCGTAGGCCTACGCCCATGTCATATCGTAACACTGCACTGTAGGCCTATGTACATAGGCTTATAATTAAATCCTTCGTCCTATAAAGAGTTTCGTTGGGTCCTGTTTAGGGGTAAAATGCATAACAAAATACGCAGGAGAAAATTTCAAGGGCAGTCTAGTAACATACATACATGTACATCGTGGACCAGAACACGCCACCAATCGATTTGTAAAAATCTCACAAAAGTCCAATTTTTGTCCAAGCCGCGATCCAAGCAAAACTGACTTCGTGGGTTGTTAAAAAACTTGTTCAAAGGTAAGACAAGGGCCAGAACAAAAAGCTGAAAATTTGGTTTAATTAGGTACTAGTTTAACTACTTCGCACAGCTGATCGATCTTCGCGCAAGCTTCTGCACAACTCCCATGCACGAAACGCCAGCTGGCTATGCCATGTGGATTTTGTTTATCCAAATTCAATCCCAGAATTCCTTGCGCGCCCAAAACATCGAAATGGCTTCTTATTATATTAAGTAATCTATGCTGCACCATGCATATGCACCCCCATCCATGCACAATTTATCATGTCGACAGGTCTTTTCCTCCTTCCGTGATATGGCCTAGGTATTTCACACTTTCATAGCCTTCTATAAGACCATTAATGTAGGCCTAGGTCTGCTAATGCAAAAAGTACCATCCATCAGTCTTGACAGTGGTCAGCCTCGTTTCGGGCATTGAAGCGACTGACACGCACGCTGCGCTCGACACCAAAGATCCTGTTTTCTTTGATTTGCGCTTGAGACGGCGCCCTCTATCGCCCCGTGGCGCGTGCTTAGATGTCAAAACATCAATCTGCGCAATCGCCCGATTACTTTGCATGATTATTGAAACTATTACTTCCTATATTGGGGCGCCCTTTTTATATTCTATTGTGTTCCTTCCTCCATGTTCTGACTGACCCTATTTTTTTGCCCTGACCTCGAAAATAAAAGCCCTTTTTTTCCTACCGATCCTGCCCTACTGCTACCTCCATGATCCTGCTAAGAGCACCTTATCTATAAAAAAGAGGAAGGTGTGTTGACCTGCACAAAACGGAGCTGAAAATGTACACGAACGATATGGCTTCGCCCAAGCATCAGCGCAGTGCAGCTACATGTTCACTAGTCGAAATCCATGGTACGGCATCAATACCAGACAGAGGTACCATGCATCATGCCGCACCCAATGGCAATGATACACTACATCCAAGCATGTACGGAGCAATTAAACACACTGCGCACGCAGGTATGCAGTGTAGATAATTGACACTAATACCGTCGAATCTACACTGTGTTGCGTAGGCCTACGAATAACAATATTTCTCCGTTCTCAGCTAAAAACAAAGACACTCTTGGTACTCGATATAAAACAAGTGATAAGCATGCGTAGGCCAGTTTGCCTTGTTTATTCAGTCATCTATTTTTTTTTTGACTGACCGATCCTCTCTCAATTGAAACAAGATATGAGAACCATACTGAATACATGTATAAAAGTGTGCCCTTAACCAAAAATGAAGCTGGTTTTGCAAAGTGAGCCGAAAAAAAAATCACCAGCCCACAAAAAGTGTAATCGAAACGGTATCAAACTTCCGTGTACCGTAGTCAGGCAATAATCAAAACATTTGTCCAAGTTCAGTCGAGGACAGCAAGTATGAAACTCGGGCTACCGGGGGCCGGAGAGCCTAGATATCTTGGAAATGCACCGTGTTTTATACTAACTCCGCCCTATAGCTTCAAGGCAGTCACGGAGCCTCGTGCTCGCAATGCACTCCCGCATGCCAACATGAGCTACCGGTTGGCATGGGCCCATCGTTCCGATCTAAACAGAATGCTTTTTCAAGGCCCCAAACATTTCCCATTTTACTAGTCACTAGGCTTTATTGTAGCCAGCAAGCACTTTGCAGGTGTTTTGTAAAAATAGAGTGAAACATTCAGTTTATAAAGGTGTTCTACTAAACTGGGCCTTCATGCTGCTTTGTCAATTTAATGAAGTGATATCACGGAGGAATAAAAACTATTAATGCTGGTCGAAGAAAAACCACTTCACATTCATTTTAAAACTGTGTGACCAGATGCGGTTCTACGGGGGGGGCTCGGGTTTAGCCCCCCACCTGTTGTCTGGCCACCCCCCCATAAAACATTATAGAAAAGGGTGGAAACTGGATTTGCAGTGGTGAAAGTTAAAAGGTGACGTCACGTTTGAAGGGTCTACCNAAAAAACAGCCGCCATTCTCAAACAGCTATGACCCATCTTCACACCTACAGGGACGTAAATTTGGCGGATGTGGGTGCTGAAGATAGATTCCTCCAAAGAAAATGGACTGGTAGGCTCCTCCTCTGTATTTTTGTCTTGAACACGAAAAAGACTTCGATCCTGACAGACATCCTCCTTTCAAAAGTTAACAGTAGCGACACAATTGAAGTTGAACGTGGGAATGTGTTCATACACAGTCAAGCATGAAGTATTACACAGTGCGGGGATGTTTGCTCACACAATATTCGTGATGTATCGACCACAAATCCCAGGCCACTTGAGACTCATCAGAAACTTGCCTTGGACTGTTTTAGCGAGCTTTCCGCGCCGGACGCATACACGCACATGCGACAGTGGTACGGTAAGTAATCATAATTAACTCTATGTGGACGTGTACGGCCGGCCGATGAACGCATTGACTGAAAACAAACCAAGAGCGTGTTATAGTTGCGCAATGCATTGTGGGAAATTTGGCCAAGAAAAACACACGTACATGACATCGCATCTACATCTACAGTACAATAAAACAGCACTGCACTGCAGTGGTAGCCAGTGTACCTACTAAACTGGGTCGTCTAGTGCACGCGAGTAGCTGCCATGGCTGTATCGGGAGGAACACACACCTAAATCGATTGTACTACTGCGTGTACTAGTTTGTACTAACGCTAGACGTTTTTCTTAGATACCAGACGTTGCAGTTAGAGTGCCGAAGCTATCGAATTCATACCAGTATCTGGACATCAGATTTAACAACTTGTAAGATATCTTGCTACTCACACAGGCCAGCCATATTCAGCATGCTTAGCTAGGCCTATTTAGCGGTCATGCAGGTATTTCTGTGTTTTGAACCTAACTAGGCCTAGGAAATTAGGCTCATCGCCTAGGCTGTATTTAAATATCAACATTTGGCATGTTTGGACATCATAGTCGATGATAGACCCATAGTATGGCCTAATAAGAGTCATATTATTGGTCTCGTGCACCTTTCTCTGTAGCGGCCTAGGCCTAAGCCTTATTGCAAATACTGCATGGGTGATTTTGCACAATCTATCCCGAATCAAAATCTTCAGATTTCACCCTACCTCCATGACCCCCATAACAGGCTGGGTGTGTGTGTGGAGGGGGAGGTAATTTCACCCCCAAAGTTGCAGTTCTGGAACTGTCTAGAACATTGTCTAACATGTCTTTAATGTGCCCACTGCACTGGAAATGGAGATCCCAGTGATGGTGGTTATTATAGGTTTAGGCCTAGCCTACTTACATTTGGGAAGGAAAGAGAAATTTCTAGAGTAACTCTATGGCATTTCGTAAGATTTCACATTGCTAGCCCCATAAAGGGGGCCCAGGTCCTGGACTAGACTGCCACCGTATCCTGGGCCCCACTCTCTTGTGTAGTTCGAGTAACCGTACATGTACATAGCATCTATAGGAGTGGAGTAACTAGGACTCAGTGAAGTGTGTCTTGTAACATTTGGACATGGTCAGCGATAGTAGAGTCATAGAACCCTCCAAGTTCCATTGGCCTTGCATACCACTATTTAATTTCGCTCAAAATGGCCCATACTCCAAATCAAAATCCTCAGATTTCTCTTCCAAAACAGTACTGGAGTTGGTGCCTATTGCACCCACAATAGGATTCAGTAGGAATCAAAGATCCCAATGATGGTGGTAACGTTTACTTACATTTGGAAAGAAAAGAGTAATTTTCTTGACAAGCTCAAAGTTGCCATCTTCTTAATGTAGCTATTCAAACTTTAGGCCTATATACAGGGAAAATATATCGACAACGTCACAAGATGCGAGCCAAGCACACTATCATATACCTGCACACGTATGGTGTGAGCAAGCATATGCCAATGACCGTTTCCTGAAAGATGCAATGTCTGCTGTGTGACTCGATTAAGTCAAAGCTAGTCATACCAGATGCTGGGCCATTAATTTAAGGAAACAGTTGTTGTCATACACTTGCACACTCTTGAGGTTCAGTTATGAATGACCTGCTCAGCCAGGAGGTCTTGACATTGTCAATGTTTTCTCTGTCATTAGCATGCAGTTTGAAGGTGGAAACTTTGACTTTGAGCTCAACAAGAGGAGGGTTTCCAACTGGAACGGAAGAATTTTATCTTTCTAAATTGAAGTGAACTTTACCACTGTCCAAGGAGTCTTTGATTCCTACTGAATCCTATAGTGGGCACAGGATGACATTAGACTGTTTCAGGACTATTTGTGGAATGAAGTCTGTATGTACCAGGTACATTGTACATGATCAGTCTGGAGCATCACCCTATGCTTGCTATATGGACAGACCGTACATTTACGTCACAAACCCCATGCAATCTGACCAATCACAAGGCCTGTTCTTGGAGCCCACAAAGAATTATTGGTGTTTCTATGACATGAGGTGCTTTTCTTGAACTTTGGAGCGTGTGGAACAAAAACTTTGACTGAAAAGCTCAGTTTGCAAAATTTGATTGGCTATGTGGAAAAAAGACCATTATAGACACCATCTATATGTTCTAAAACATGTTTGTACTGATGTAATAAGAAATTCATCCTGGCCAACTTGAGATAACGATGAAATGAACGTTGAAATTACTGTATTTTGGCAATGACCACAGAAACACATGGACACTTGCACATGGCAAGGTCACTATGCCCAGAATATTCCTGACTGATGATCACCTCTAATGATGGTACATGTAATATAAATATCATTTTAAAAACCTTCCTGAGTACATAGTCAACTTTGATGTTGACACCAACTGACATCAGGAGCCTTGAATAATGTCACATGTGGCCATGGAAATAGTGTCTGCAGTGCATTCATGAATGTGAACTGCTCAAAACAGATCTAACTTAAAGGCACATTTAGGCCGTTTTCCAATACTCAACTTTGTCTCCGTCTCAGGCTTCAACTGTTTCTTTTGTTAGCTGACTTTGAAGCTGTAAGCGCAGTAATCAGTCTAATAGTGCCACAGAACATCAAGTAAGATGCAAGAAAGCCAAAAATTACAGTAGTCCAATGTAATTTAAATGCTTCAGGCCCACAATCGGGGATTGGTTTTGGGAACATAGCCTGAGACGGAGACAAAGTTGAGTATCAAGTGGAAAACGGCTGTACAGTACATACATGTATTGTCTGACCAAAACATTTAACTCTAACAGTACCGGGCATTGTTTGGCTAAGAGTACTCAGTACTACAAAATACCAAGTAACACTCTGAGCCTGAAGGACCTAGCGCTACAAATTACTATTTCTGGCTAGGTATATTCCATTGTTACTCGTACAGAGAACAATGAAACCATGCATTCATAGTGCCACAGCACTGTATGGTACATTGTCTTCTCAATTGTATTTTATGGCTTCAGAAAATAATAATATCATGTCCTCTTACAAGCGTCAGGGCTGAGTACTACATTTTACTACTAAGTAGTACTTTGTAGCATTCGAGACTGTAAGGGTTAAAGAGAAATAGGATGTACAATACATGTTTCTACAGGCTGAACATGCTGAAGGTGTAAAAATAATTCTACAACTTGGTAGGTACGTGTATGTACTTGTATATGTACTCAAAAAATGGAAAAAAAGTCATGTTGTGAAGTGCAGTTGAATTTATATTGTTTTAATGCTTACATTAAACAGAAACTGCCAATTCATGAACACAAATTTGGAACAAAAAATACTGTTCCACTTCATTTCTCCGTACTTTATTTTACAAAACTGTGTAATGAAACACATAAGCAACATACTGTGTTATTTGCTTGACTTGAAATGTTAGTGCTCTTGTGTAAAATTTTGTACCTCATATTCTGTAATTTGCCATTCAACATCAATCATACATGAACATGTAGTAATAACATGCAGTTGCTTGGGAACGTTTATAAATGATTGGCCTCTTTTGAACGTGCAGTTTTTGTGTGATGTACTTCCTTGTTTGAATAAAATGAATGAAATGAATACTTATCTTTTGATTAAACCTAGAATTTCAAGTACATGCACATGTAGTATACTGTACATGTAAGTACATGTAGGTGCTTACTAATATAAATGTACATGTAATCATGTTGAACTAGGTTTTAGAAACTGAAAGTTCGCTACCTCCACCTTCACATGCATATATGGGCATGAACAATGGATGTTGGATTTTTATGGAGCATATTTTCTGTTCAAACTTTAATTCTTCATTAATCTCGTGTAAATAGGAACTTCATGCAGAATGAGTATCTGCACGTGTACTTGCACGTATCAGGTGTCAACATATGTCCCTTAGTTGTCTGGCTGAAAGGGGAGGGGGGGGCAGAGGGGATGGAACATTCCTTGAGAGTGAAGCTGTCATTATGCATACAGTGTGAATAGAGGAAGGAACATGTACAGTATTTGGTAGATCTACAGTGCATGTAGTTTAGTTATAGAGGCTGAATGGCATGATGTTTACAAGACTGAAAAAAGACAACTGTCAGAAAAAGAATACAAATTGCACATACAGTTGGATTAGGAAAAATTCTTTTAATTTTGGAGATAAAAGAAAGTAAAACACGATAAATGATGGTGGAGTCAGTAAATAATTACAATATTTCTCATGCAGCAACTCATGTAACGTTAGGCATGGGGCTTATCAAAAATCTACATGTATATTGTATGGCTTGAATTTCTTGTAGGTTGGTTTCCTGAGAGATAGTAAGGGTCTGTACTTGGAGGGAGGGAACCACTGAGAGAACAGTGGAGATGTACATAACTATAAGCTTTTGTGGCAATTATGCATGGCACATGTACATGTAATACATGTACATATACATGTAGTTTATTACATACAATATCTTGATTTGTTTATCGTGAAAGAAAAAAGTTTTCCAAAAGCCAAGTTCAAGTGTGAATTGAAGTGGATGTTTAATTTTTCATGGGTATGTTTAGGTGAGGGACCTACTTTCAGTTATCTCCAATGATAAAGCTACATGTATGCTCCAATGCAATTCATGACATTTTGTGTACCTGGAGCTTTGCCATTTAACATTAGCTAGTGGAGCACATTAGTTATCATCTGTCCAAATTGTCATTTTCTTTGTATGTAAATAAAACAACTGTGAAATTTGAGAATTCTTAAAAATCATCTTCCTAATGCAGGAATATACAGTTTTCAGTCTGACACAATTTTGTCTGACAAAGTACTTAGCGTACGTGTACACGTAATGTGCACTGAAGGTCGGTTCATTCGTGTACTCACCATGAAAGCAAGTATTGGTCCATTGAAATTGTGACTTTAGATTTGATATTTTCACAGCAAATTCAAAGTTAAACATTTGCTTGTGTTCACCTGAAGTATGAACTGGCCTGCTCTGGTGAGAAATTGCTTGTGGTCACTTACACTAACTTACAAGTACATACAGTCGTTGACTCTGAAATAATTTCACAGTTGTTTATTCAAATAAACAGACCCTGGAGTATTGATCACTCGTTGTACATTCTCTTCCATGAACTCACTAGAAATGTGCAATCATCTTTAGCATGCTGTGAATTGCATGCTTTGTGACTGGCATAGCCAGTGCAAACCAACTAGAACTCACTGTTTCAAACACGACATTACTGACTTGAAAAAAGTGGCTGTTCATGAAGCAACACACCATCCCGAGCCATTAATACTACTGATCGAATGAATGTACATACATGTACCTATGTAAAGCAAACTGTCACACTTTCCTTTTTTGATTTATAAATGCATAGGTACTTCTGAAGATTTCTGTGTTGAAGAACACACAGGACTGCCTTCTGTAGCTGCTGAGATACCAGAAAATAACTAAAACAGCATCTGGAGTCCTCTTTATGGGAAACAACTCCAGTAAAAGAAGGTCCCACAATAAATCTAGTGTTCCTGAACAACCACTCAGTAGTGGACGGAAGCGTTCACTGAAGCCAGATCTGGCTGCTTCAGAAACGGAGAAGTTTCTCAACGAGGACGATACTAAACCCCCTCATCGTGTCAATGAGGAGACGAAAGAAAGGCTGCTAAATCCACCAGGCTTAAAGGGCCTGTCAGACGCCTACATGCAAAAGTCAGGAGATGGTAAAGGAAGCAGGGGGTCAGGCTATGAAATGAAAGCCGAACACCGAGAAGAAGAGACCAGCTACGTTGAAATATCACAAGTAGAATTATCTGGAGAGAGGGACGAACCCAGACCAGAACGAGACAGATTTCGTGGGAGCTACCGACGCAGTGGCAAGTTTAAAAAGATCATGTCTTCGCTGTCACCTCAAGAGGCAGCAACAGCATCAGGGAATGAAGGCAAGATGGAAAGCACCATCCTTCTGGCTAATGATGTCATCCAACGAATGCAGGGAGAAGATACTGAGAGGGTTGTAGAAGCCACACAGCAACTGTATCGTATGGTGGATGATGCATGGAGTACGCCAAAGTACGGGCGTGACCTGGCATGTAGTATTAGCGACAATCTTCGCACTGAAGGAGGACTGGATATTCTTCTGAAGAACTGCAAATCAGACGACAAGGCACTGCAAGTTAACTCAGCACGACTTCTTGAGCAGGTCATGACAGCTGATAATCGAGACTATGTCGTGAAGCATGGACTGGACTCTGTGGTGAAGCTGGCCTGTTCCCGCAAAGAACCAACCTTACTTCAAATAGGAATGGGTCTCTTGGAAAATCTGTTCAAGCATTCAGAAGAGACTTGCACCAAGGTTATTGATCGGGGTGGACTGACAGCTGTTGTGTACACTTGTCGCATGAGTGATAACATCACTCTGCGACACTGTGCTGCTGCCTTGGCAAACTGCGCCATGTATGGTGGACCAGCTAACCAACAGAAAATGGTTGACCAGCGTTGCTCAGAGTGGCTGTTTCCCTTGGCATTTAGTACTGATCACAGCATCCGCTACTATGCTTGTCTAGCTGTTGCTGTTCTTTCAGCCAATCAGGATGTAGAGAAGTGTGTGGTGAACTCAGGCACACTTGATCTGGTTGAGCCCTTTGTTACAACCCATGATCCTCTGACTTTTGCCAAGAGTGACAAGGCGCACTCCCAGGGTCGTTCAGAGCAGTGGCTGCAGCGTTTGATGCCGCTGCTAGATAGTACAAGGAGAGAAGCACAATGTCTTGCTGCTTTTCATTTTGCAATGGAAGCAGCCATCAAGAAGGAGCAAGGCAGAACCAAGGTAGGTGCTTCCAATCACAGTGCACACAGGTACGTGTACATTTCTAACAAATTTGATTGACTACACCTTACATGCACTTCATTCAAGCCATACTACTGTACATGTATGTTACAGTTGATCAGAGATCTGCAAAATAAAGTAGACGATACAAGAATGGCCATGTAACTTGTGGGATATTAACGGTCTCAGAAAATTTGTTGCACTGCAGATTTCCGAGTGATTTGGTGACAGGTACTGGTTCTGGTAGTTTCCATCATATTCTCACATATAGTATATACTATTGCACATTGTTTACATCACACAAAGAATTTAATGATGTGAAATACAGCCATTACCTAAAGGTACCAGGTTTAGTGGCCAAAAGCATGTATAGACCAATCTGGTACTTACAACACTGCAGCATGTCTTCAATGCACAGAGGTATAGTTTACAATGCTGCAAGTACATGATTACATGTGCATCCTGATATGCCTGATACTGTGCACATGTATTTGCACATGCATGTACACATGCATGTACATGCCTTCTTGATACAAATCTCTTTCGAAAGGAATATGTAAGCATACGAAATTGTTTAGTTTTTCTCTTTAAAAAAAAAAGTCAAATTGATAAAGTCACTTTTTTTCTGCCAGATTAAAATGATTTTATTCACACTGGTGATGCTTTGTAGATTTCTCAATGATTTGACATGGCAGGTGTTTCAGGAAATTTTGGTTGTCCCAGCCCTGCGTCGAGTAGCCTCCTCTAACAATGAGATAGCCTCCAAGCTTTGCATTCAAGCCCTACGTACCATCGGTGAGGACATCCCTGCTAAGCTGTCCTTCAATATCTCTTGCTGGACCATAAAAGAAGTTCAAATGTGGGTCAAGAATATCGGCTTTGCGCAATTCTGCCCAGCATTTGAACGCCACAAAGTTGATGGGGATCTGCTGTTGACCATATCAGAAGAAGAACTCATCCGCGACATTGAGATGGAGAGCAGCCTGCTGAAACGAAGGTATTGTAGCTTTCATCATTGAAACATTTGCATTTTGTCAAGAGAAGTTCAAAATGAAAACATTCTGTCAGCTGGCAAGCTACTGTAGACAGCTTCTAGGCCAGTACCAGGTAGCTGGGTACATATATCTGTCCACAGATGTCAATATCTGGTTTTGTTTTGGGGGTCAGGTACTTGCACTTGTAAGAAAATCACATAAACAGGAAAATAATTGTGGAAATGTTTGTTTTTGTTGATATATTTGCATTCATTAGGGCACATAACTAGCAGAATGACCTGCCAATAATAAGTAATCTCCGTTAGCCAGAAGGCACCTTATTTTCCGTTAATTTATGTTTAATTTGAAAAACGTTTAGAAAACTTTCCTAAAACATCCCACCCTTACCACTGTCACTGAAAACTATAAACACAAAGTATGTACTATGAAAGTGGTTGACACAAGTTTCCAGTGATGAATTCATGGTATTCCTTTGATATGACTGAGGCAGTAAAGTGTTCTGAAAATCAGATTAAATGTTACAGGCACCATTTACAATACAAATGATCAAAACGTCAAACCTCTGAAAGGGGCGGTTCTGTTTAAGTGTTTGGGAAAATCTGTAAACAGATTTGGAACTTTTTATTTAAAGGTTTATATGTGTTAACGTCCCACCCGTAGTTACTTGTGACTACTTTATCCACTTTCAAAATTTTGCAGCCTTGGACTGAGAATGCACTGGCATCCTATGTAAACTGAGCAGAAGCACCCCGTTGGTTGAAAAGAGCCATGCTAGTGGGGAGTGTTTATTTTGTTGGAAGCAAGGGGTGCATGACACATTTATTTCATAGCCATTTGTGAACCAACAAAGTACCATACAGTTCCTACCAAGGAAGCCTCTGTTACTAGGAAACTTGCGCCCTCTCTTGCTCCCTCTTGGGCCCCATTGACCATGCACAAAAGGAATGTGTTGATGTACATGTATGGCGTGATGCCGTAACAGAGACAGTGACTTTGCAGATGACTACATTTATGAGATCGTCATGATATCATGAATTCACCACAAGTATCACTGTGAATATAAGAATCCCCCATGATTGAGGTATGTGCTTTTGTAAGCAGTATGGTTTGGGTTAGAATCCCAATTTTTGAATAATTTTTGGTTTAGGGGCTGTTAGTCAGCAATGGGTATGCAGTGTTTAGCCTACACTGGTAAGGATCACGATAAAAATACCAGCAGTAATTTTTGTTGACCTCTCTGACCGTAAAATTTTCTCCGCATTCATTGATTTGAGGATGGAGTTTATTTGGATTGCTTGACCATGCACATGCATGCAGGTTCACTGAAAGCATACACTTTACAGGATACATGTACAGGGGTACGTGTGTGGTCCTGTACGTTAGCCCCATGCACATGTACAAATGCATTCTGACCTTCAACTGCGACTGTAGCATGTTTTGGGGGTTCTGTGTACATATTGTGTATGTCCACATGTACATGTAAGTTAGACATACATGTTCTGTACAGCTATACATGTACATGTAATCCAAGCTTCCTGTACTCTTCATGTACAAGTACACATGGTACATGTATGTATACTCATGGGCATGACAGGAATGCATAGTATGTGGACCCTCTTCTTGAATGCTGAACTGGAAACAATTACATGTGCATTTTATAACGGTACATCTGTCTGAGAATGTCTCCGTGGGGTCTGATTCACATTCAAGTGCTGTAGGGGCCATCGTACATGTACAGAGGATATGTCGTATATACATGTACATGTACACAAGTTTTACAATACATTTGTACTTCATGGCAAAGTTAAACAACATTGTTATTTTTTCATTATTATTGAGTTAACCCCTGCCTCTGCAGATGTACATTTACAGTGTACAGCTGACATGTACTTGTGCTCGTTATATACCACTGGATGTACTTTTTTCCTTAACCCCTTGATGACGGAACTTTTTTCTGAAAGTCGACTCCGAGAATTCCAGCCTCGCTTGGCCACGAAGGCCACCTGCCAAACTGCATATATGCCGTGCTAATGCTGTGCTTAACTTAATTGAAAATATGTTCAGCAAGAGCATGGCAATAGCAAAGCAGCAGACTTTATTCACAAGGAAGCCAATTTTTTTATCGTGTTCCCTGAATCTACGTATCTTATTCAGTGTATTATTGGAGTGGTGCCAGACTACTTTGAGTTCTGTGCCTCACTTTCTTTTTTTTTTTATGTGGCTTAAAACATTTAGCTATTATAAATCACATTCTAAATTATTCACAGGCATAAATGACAGTAATTTGTAATAAAGTTCATTTCACTACTTTAAGTTTTATTCTCTGGTTCCCAAAATTAAAAGGTTAATCTCACATTCCATACAACATGGCTGACTTGTGAATAAGGCCAGTTGCTCTAACTTTTAATTGCGTGGACGAACGAAAGTGCATACTAACCTGGCAGCAAGGCATGTACCCTTAGCAAGGCATGTACATGTACATGTAGCAAGGCATATACATGTACATGTAGCAAGGCATGTACATGTACGTGTACTTTTTGTAGAACAGTGCCGTGTCATTGAAGTTCAGATCCGTGATAGCATGGTAGATAACCTGTTGAGTTAAATGGCCTTGCTGTGTTGAACTCAATTTTCCAAGCCAGATGGGCCTACAATCTTGTTGAGCCATTCGTATTAACACTAACTTTGAAAGAACATCAAATGTACCGAATTCACCCTCAAAACATCACAAGCGTTGTATTGATCGCATAATTATCTCCACCCTCACCTAACAGAGCGTGTAGCATGCTCTAAAATTACAGGGCGGGCGCGATACATACAAGGCACACTGCCAATGGTGAGCCACAACACATCATTAACCCTAACCCTCCTCAATCCTTCACCTGTTGGAGGACTGAGGCGTGTTAGGGTTAAAGAACTTGAGTCTCTCCCCTTCCTTTTTTTTTTACAGCTCTCATAGATCAACCCTCCAACCCAAGACCCCCTTTCAATGTTGGGTCTGCATGTATGTGCGCGATCTGCATTCTGGCTGGACATGACGACATTGACCAGGGGAGCGGGGTAGGGGCTGGAGAGCACACAGCTATTGCCAAGTGTCCCAACAATTTTGTCCAGGACTGTACATGTAGATACTGTGCTGCCATCGTGTGGAATTTCAAAAAGTGGCCTTAGCATCTAGACTGGGCCTTAGCATCGTCATCCTGAACAGATCATAATGGGCAGAACTGCAGCGAGAATATTCCTAACGTGGTTTCCTTCACCATGGAAAATTAGAAAAGGGTGAAGAAATGGACACTTTGTCAAAAGCCTACCTGTACATGTACTTGTACTTGCCCATATCTCTTGGACAAGTTGTACATTCCGTTATCATAAAATATGAATTTGAGTCTTTTCTATTTTCCCCAATTCCCCTGCCCCTTTCTTCTTTTTACCGAGAGAGATGATTTTATCAAAATAGTATGACATGCCCTTACATATGTACCTACATGTACATGTAATGTATGGACATGTAAGTGGATGCATGTGCATCTGTGAAATACCATTCTCAATATAGATACATGTACTAATGGTATGGTCTCTCAGTTAATGTTCAGTTTTTCTTTGCCACAGGTTCTTGCGGGAACTATCCCGTCTGAAGTCCAATTCCAACAGTGGTGATCGGGAACTAGGTGATTGGCTTAAGAGCCTTGGCCCAGAGTATCCCCAGTACACACATAACCTAGTACATTGTGGGATTGATTTCAACCTCTTACCCTTTATCACGGATGAGCACCTGAAGACTGATGCAGGAATCACCAATGGTGTGCATCGTATGAAGATACTCAGGACTATCAGACCACGAGGTATGATCTTGGTCCCTTTGTTTGGCCTTCGACAATTTATATGTACATGTATGTTTCAAATGTTTTGCAGGTTCTGAATTTAATTCTTTGGCCAATTTACATGTAGCTTTTGGGTCTTGATCACAACATTTGTGAGCAGTGGTACTTAGGCTTACTATGAACATTTACAGTGTTAATACAGGTATATATAAAATGACTGAAGCACTGCATACGTCATAATTCCTTGTTCCTTCCAGCATATTCAATATATGCTTTGAACATGTCCTAGTTCATGTGTACTTTCTTAAAGCATATGATCAAAGTAAGACCATCAAAGTTGAAATATGTGTGATTACTGCAGTGTGTAAGTATAATAAAGATATAGTAAATGCTTGTATACATATTTTGACCATTCTTGTTGTGCTGTATTAGCCTTGGTCATACCATGGAGGAAGGACACAGAAGTTGTAACTCAGGCACTTCAAAGCGTCCAGTGATGGTCGCCGCCGAGTCTGACGAATAATAGAAAACATTCCAAAAATGCCTTATTGCTGCCTGCATCTTAGCTGGACAAGCAGGGCCAATAATATCCTAGCAATACTTGTAGTTTTTTGCTTGCAATTAAATTTATACAAACTATCGATGTGACCAGGAAATAGAGAGAGAAAAATTCCTGATATTAGACCTACTTTTGCCATCATAAATAAACTTTTTAAATTTTGACATACTGTTTCATTATCCATGCAAAGTTTGTAATTCTAGTCGCTTCCGTCCAATATACATCAGTGTTAAAGACTTGGAACGAATTTGGCTAAGACTGGCCAACAAAATGTTCACTGCTACTGGAAAGCTTAGTTCATTTAGCAACAAAATGCGCTGTTTCATCACAAGGAGTGATCGTGAAATCTCATAAAATACACCTTTGTACAAATGCCATAATGAAAATGATTCAAACAAAACACAAAAATCTTACAAACAGCTCGGCTATTTATTCCAAAAAGAAGTCCAGAAGAAAGTGTTCGATAAGGGCAACAACTGCACATGAACACTTCGGGTATACAGCCTAATAAAAGCAACTGCGCAAACACTACATTTGATGATGTTGTCGGTTCATATCAAGCACCAACGATGGCATGAATATTCAACTTCCTATACTGCAGTACACAACGTTTTAGGGATGCAGATTACCCATGAAAAATTTCGGCGACGATCATGGGATACAAAGGGGGATTATGGTTGCAAAAACAGGTGGTGGGTAGCAGGCGTGCGCTGCGCTCTGGCTATGGACATACCAGGCATGCCAGATGTTATAGCCGGGGCAGTTCAAACTCCTTCTGTGTCCTTCCTCCAGGGTCATACACTGGAACAGAATGTGTGCACATTGCTTGTCTTAGATTTTGAGGTTTCCAAGGATTTGTGCACAAGTAACGTTTTTTGGTGACACCATGTAAGGAAATCTTCTCTTGTGTGAATGTGTGATTCTGAAATGAACCAGAGGTACACACCTGACTTTTCAAACAGTGTGCTATGTTTGTCTTCTGACTTCTCTGTGTAGTTCCACCATGCACCATATGATGCAAGATATGGGGCGGAGAGAACCCCCCCCCGCCTNTGGACATGGGGGATACCCATCGGCCCCGTATCGTGCATGTGTATCCCATGCACAGCCTCAAGTCTTAGTAATTTGTGTACCATTATTGCACCCAGAAGGCATTATTCTACAGACGAGTCTGTGGAGACTGGAGACGCTAAAGTAATGATTTCACTAGACTCGAGCGCATGCTCTTCTCTTAAGGCACACATGTGCACAGCTCCTTATTGATTCAAGAGGATGTACTGAGCATGCATGTACCACCTCTATGCAAGTGGCGTTCCAACAGAGTAATAGCTTGTCATACTAATTGCCGGATTAGTCTAAACGTACATGTACTGGTATACGTGTGTTGTGTGATTGCTCTTGTAATTACTGTAGCTCATTAACAGTGCCATACAATCTCAATAAAGCAAGTGGCAAACAGAAATGATGAAGGCATCAGGAAATGTGGAAGTGTCTGAGAATGATACATGAATGATGAGAATGATGTATGTGTGGGTGTGGTGGTGAGTGTGTGAGGTTTATAGAGTTGAATTTTTGATTGCATGTGGGCAACCCTGTATAGGTGAACTACTATGCAACCCTACCTGTAGCTGGTGCTGTGGCTAGTAATGCTCAAATCAACAACTTCTCTTCTTTTGCAACTCTTGTACTCATTGCCTGGGTTTTCTTTTTGTTAAACTGATGCCTTTTACTGTCGTTCAAACTTCAATTCAGTTTTCATCTCTTTGTGCTTCGAGTAGGTAAATGTTTTTAGGAAAAATGACTTCCATTTTAAGAATCTCCAGAGAAAATCTTAAAGCCTAAATGATATTATTGACAAGCATTCCCTTACTGTAGGCTTACATTAATCTCTTTTGGGGGCTCAGCTTATACATGTACATATAGGAATAAAACCAATGTTGACATGTGCTACTACGCATGTAACCATATGACAACCATAATTGGCAACCCTATTGGGCCATGTACATCATGTGAAAAGTAATGAGCCAGAAGATGAATGATTGTATCATTGAGTACAGCTACCTTTCATGTACACTGAAGTATTGGGGACACTTGTTTGCTGTTTGTCTCAGGCTAGCTCCCTCTCTAATTTAAGGGCATGTACATATGCACCAAAGGGAACTGGTTGGCGTTATCATTTCCATGACCATGAACAATATGTTCCGATGGAGGGGGGGAGGATTTGCTTTTATTTGTCATGAGAACAGTGCAGACATACGGGTGCTTCTTCATACACATAAATGAACATATCCAGTGCCTCACAAGACTACCGTCATTTGTATGCCTCAAAACTCATTACAACAATGTACCCTTCTCCCCATCTGTATCCCAGGACGGCACATCCATAAATGCTTTGTAATGTATAAGTGGCATATGCAACAAGCGTAATGCATACTGTATGTGTGTGCACTATGCATGTACATACATGTACATGTATATATGCAGTGAAAATGAACATGGACATACCCAGTGTACAGGGAGATTGTAGGGTATTCAAGATGGGGGACGCAACACTGGTTTCTATAGGATGCTACTCAAAATCTGCATTTTGTGCATACGTTCATGTTCAAACCAGTTATAGTTTCCCTGAGAATTTCCAAATCTTTCTTGTAGAAGAAGGGGACCATTTCCTATTTGTACGGTATACATGAAAGTCAGTAGTTAACCTCAGTTGGCAAGTTTGGAGTATTTTTTGTCACCCGCAGTTACATGTACATTTGTACATGGTACAGATGTAGCTACAAATGAGACAACAGACACAAATGTTTTAGTTCTGAAGCTGTCTGTGTTAATTTATCATTTCTCAGTTTTGCAAGTCAAGTTTGCTACACTTTAATTTGGATTTTTATTTTTCCTGTCAGTCATAAATTTTATTTTCACTTTTGTTTTGAGCTTGAAATGGTTTGGAAAAAGAGATTGTTACTGTTGAGAAGATGTGTTGATATTGTTGCATTGATTTACAGGAATGAAACTGTTGAAGCAAAGCCTGAAACCAAGCTCACCTGACTCCATCAACCATACCCTCCCTTGGCTGAAGGAACCACGGAAATCACTAGATGGGAAGTATTGTTCATGATCTCTTTCTTGATCTCTGTAATACTAAACCCTCAAACGTTGGCTCTGTCATACTACTTGGTTTCAGGCAGATTCAACTGTGTAACTTACACTGCTTCATCAACCTTTTGTCATGCTGTTCATTGAGATGTGACGGAGAGTTTACATCGATGAGGAACAGTCCACTTCTGTGGTGTTTGTCTTTCATTTCCTCTTATTGGTTTTATTTAACATTTCTTCTTTTGCTTTTTGTGTCATTTTTGGCTAAATGCATGATTGTAATTTTTTCAACTTCCAACAAAGAATTCTTACATTTGACAATTCTGTAATAGATAAATACGGCTCTGTATTTGTAAAATATCTCTCAAGCTGTTGTACAAAGAGGGATATCAAAAACATTGGTGTTAAAAATGATTGAATGTCTGTTGAAACTTGACTTTGATACTTTGGTCAACTATCAACAACTGAAAAGATATTTATTTAGGCCCACCGTTCTGTCGCAGTTTGCCGGTGTTCTGACCGATCAGTCTGTTGTTGTCAAGGAGGGCGAGAATCCGCAGATGAGACTGTAGTGTGTGCTCACATATGGCAAAGTTAATGAGCAGGGCTGGCCGTGTGCCTTTGTCATCGCAACAATGGATGCAGTGAAACATGACCAATGTTGTGAATACGGACGGCAAAATGTCCGTCCTTTAAATACGGTTGATAGATAGGTTCCACAAACAGAAACAGTCTAGGGTGCCTGGTACCTCAAAAGCTAACTTTCCTGGAAAAGTTTTCATCCAGAGATATCTGGAAATTATCCAGCTACATGTACATACGATACTTAACCACTTCGTGCCGGGGT